AATTTTGACAACCACCCATTTGTGTCTCCAGGTTTAGAGTCGGAAGGGATGGAGGGCTTCATTCTGGATGGACCGGAGATGTAGCGTGCAGTCGGATTTGCTGAACACAAGAGAATTTCTGTCTGTGACTTTCTGAATCAGAGGCCGGAGACCCGCGTCGAAGCAATATGCAGGGCATGGGGTGTCAGCGACTACATAAGCATAAAGGTCCTGTCTTTGGGGTATACGGATCCAAGATAATAAGGGAATTCCAGAGAATCTTAGCTGTGAGATCCTTCTATTCATGCCTGTTTTATTATCCTAAACCCTAAACCCTACACCCTTTCGGCCTACACCCTATAGGATCCAAAGTTTCGGGTCTTGGGCCAAGGCCAAGGCACGCTTTGGAATAGAAAGGCCGCCCGGGCGCTGTGAAAGTCGCTGGTGACTAAAATCGCCTCCGAAGGATCTTTTGGTGTCTCTGGGTGTCGGGCTCTGTAGAGATTTTGAAGTGTAGGGAGGGTTTCAGGATCTTACTCTCTGCTTTCCCTGCAAGTACCGGGGTCTCGTGGTCAATACGAAGGACTAGGCAGATTTTCAAGGGGTCACAAAGAGACTTCTTCAACCACGATGCTGTTTTGATGCTGCGGTCTCGCAGCAGCGGCACTGCATAGATGGCATTCTCGATGGTGTTCATGGCCTGAACCTCGCACACCAAGCTGAGATTTGTAGCTTCGGCACCTCAAAATTACACCCCTCTGTGCTGGCCCAAAAGGAGAACTCTTGCAACCTTGCCGCGTCCACATCCAGCACGTCGGGGCTCAGCCCTGCAGCGAGGAGCAAGTCCTGCATAACCTCACGCAAGCAAGGATCTGCCAGCCAATTCGGGCTTCGAAGCTCGAATCCCGAAAAGCCACCAACCCAAACCCCGAACCCTTGAACTCGGAACCGAACGGAAACCCAAACTGTTGGATCCCCTGGCAAATGGGCCTCACCCTCTGGCACTCCGCATTTCGCCACATCGGCACCGGAGACGTAGACTCTGCAGTTGAAGCGTCGATGGAGGTCCTTGGTTGGGATGTCGAGGTAGGCTGCGGTGTTTCGGAGCAAGGGGCAAGTTGTCAGGTGGTGTTTGTGGCTTCAGTACAGGTTTTTGCAAGGCGAGAACCGCGGACTTCTGGCCAAGGTGCAGCCGCTCGCTCGACACGTTTGTGCAAAGTCGGCGGCACGGCACCGCCAGGGAGCAGCGACTGGCCCAGACAGAGAACCTTGAATCTATAGATAGCAAACGGTTTGGTCCGGAGTAGCAGAAACTACGAGTGTTGGATAATCTCTGTAGTGCGTTTTCAGGATCCATGCTCGGTCCCATACAACTAGTCTCAAACTGTTGTTTAAAATCTCGACGAACTTAACGAGCATCTCAGCGACCCTCTAAGCCAACGCTCTGCAAATCCGGCTATGTTGCTCAACCACGTGCGCTCGATCCCTGCCAAAAGCCCTGGAGCCCTGTGAATTTAGGAATCCGAGTCTTCTGATAGAAGCCAGGGTGCCATCATGGAGCTTGCGGCTTGTGCGGGCACCGCGGCCACAGAATCCAGGAGGGCCCCTCGCACTTGCCTTATAACGGTTCCACGCGGTCTTTAGAAGCGTATGATCTTTACAAGCTTTGTACCCTGTTGCTTTCGTGGCTCACAGAAACTGTATCCGAGTCCCTGACTTCGGCCTGAGTGACCTGGCCTAAGCAGGAACTCCGACCTAAGCCCGAAATGGGAGTTTCACCTAAACAGTTTTGGATCCTTATTCTACGGAACCTCAGAGATTGGTGCCTCTGATTTCACTGAACCACCGAAGTATCGAGACCAACGCGTTCCCAAAGCTGCCTAGCTGCGAGAAAGCCATCTTTCTGTCCACTTTCGCCAAGTGGTCACAGTGGATTGCTTGGGCCACCAAAGCACTGCGATAGTGCAAGGGGTCTAGGATTTCGGCTCGCATGCAGTGTTTGAGCTGTGTTGTGGGCGGGGTTATGAGCTGCATCAATATGCCGGGCATGTTGACACGTGAAGACCAGCGTGCGTGCCCCACCTGGATGGCACAACCTTGTTGGTTGTGAATGTCGGTAAGGCTCACATGAAAAACCCTTGTCGAAGGCTGAACGACAGGGGCCTTCACTGGATGCTTTGGCTCGGGTGCAGGCTCGATGCTTCTGGGGTCAGAAACACCAGTACCTGCAGCGCGTGTGGCTTTTGGCTGCACTTGCCAAGCTTCCGAAACGAGCTGGCCGTCATCCTCCATGACCAAGATCTTCACCCAAAGTGTACCTCCAGAGTCGAACTACATGGGCTGAAGGAAGAACATGAAACAATGAGTATGCGGCTGCTGCACTCAACAGAGATGCTACAAAACACAGTAACCACGCTGGTCATCAGGGACTCAACTCTTATTTTAAAGCTTCAAGAGTCCACCCCAGACAAGCCACAAAAATCACGGAACCGCGGTCCTTGACCGGGCCTGCCGGGCCTGTACAAAAGCCTCCTAGGAGCATTCCACAAGCAATCTTTAGCTTCGTGTCACAGATTTTTCGCAAAGCAGAGAACGATTGGTTTGACGGTGCTTGCCACTCGCGCGTTTTGTCAGGTTGAGCTACAATTAGAGGAAAGGTGCCGTTTCTTCTTGTGGAGCCGCTGCAAAGAACACCTGATCACTGCAAAATGTAATCACCGACGGACCTTCTAGCTAGATATGCCAGCTGGGATCGTCAGCGGCCGACCCATTGGCACGGTTGCTGACAAGGTAGCGGAAAACTCCGACAACAGTTTCGTTGACAAGACTTTAACTAGGGAAATTCCAGCCAAAAGCAAGCATCACCCAAGACTTTGCACTGGTTTCGGGGCCGCAAGGGGTTGCAGGGTTTTTTTTTATTTAATCTCAAGGAGTCGGTTGTTGCCCAACTCCGACCCCTCAAACCGAAGAAACCCCGAACAAGACTCATAAGAGCCTTGGATTCCGCCGCCACTACGCGACAAGGTCAGTCGCGTGTTGCAGCCGAGCCTCGGATGAACCCTAAAGTGAGCGAGGGCTCTGTGGCTTAGCAGTGTGGAGTTTAGGGCTTCAGGGTTTAAGATCGACTGTGGCGTCAGGTTTACGGCTCTCTGAGCAAAGCGAATGTTGCAAGAAATAGCTCTAAGCCAATGCGCAACAAAATGCATGCCGGCGATGTAGTGGAGATCCTAAGTTCGGGTCCTTCGTGTGTCCATCCATCTCCTACCCTCCCTCCCTCCCTCCCTCCCTCCCTCCCTCGATCTGTATGTATGTACGATATATATATATATATATAATATATATATATATATAATATCTCTCTCTCTCTCTCTCTCTCTCTCTCTCTCTCTCCAAATATAATACTGTGTCCTCAACGCACGGGGGTTCTCTCATCAGGGGTCTACCTGGGTCCACTTGCAGCCAGCTGCGGGAAGAACTGCCGATGGCCCAGCCGGGCCTGCGATTCTTCAGCCAAAGCTTCGGATGTGGGCAGGTTTCTAAATTAGGGCCCCTTTTTGGGTCCCCCCCCAACAAAAGGACCTCCTTTCCGGTCATGTGGACGAACGCTGCTTAGTCACACCAAAATAAAGGATTTTTGAAATGATCGGATCCATATTTAAACATCGTTGGGGGGTACGCAAGGGTTCTACCTTCATGCTTGCCCTTTTTTGCTTCCAGCCTGCAAAAGCCTCTGCTGGGAACAAAATGAGGGGCTTACAGCAAGCCTTGAAGTCTGCAGCGCCTCGACTTCAAAAGGATGACTCCAGAAGCCCTTCCGCCACACCGGAAGCAACCGCAAGACTTGTATCCGGATGACTTCCAGAATACAAACAGCAAATCTCCCCTGAAGAGGGAGTTTATGCAACCAGAGGGCATCTTCGTGATCAGGTACTGTAGATGAAGATGCTTCATAGCTAGACATGGAATTTGGGGTACATCATAATATTTCCACAAAAGGCAGCCGACAGGACTCGCATTACTTCTCTTTCAGGATGGTCTAGTAACTTCTGACTGTCGGATCCACCGCATCATGTGCCTTGCCCAGCAATCTTTCGGATTGGCCTGGCCAGAGTTCATGTTCATGTAGACCACTGCTTTAAGGCTGTTACCCGAGTCCTATGGGGCATAACCTACACCTTAACATGGGAGGGCATGGAGCGTGGTAGGGTGTCGGACCGCAGGGTTTGAAAGCCGGGCTTGTGCTGCAGAATCGCCTGTGCCCTCGCTACTTCCGGCATCATGTGGGAAGATAGTGGTTGCCCAATATAGACGGGAAATAGAAAGATCTTTATCAGGCTCCAAGTAAGGTATACACTCTGAGAAGCTCTGAAACATCCGTCTCGACCTCATGCAGCACGGATTTCTTGTCAAGTAGGGGGCTTTTGGGAGCACTGAGGCATTCCTCGGCCCCAGCCGCCTTAGCCCGAGACGTTTAGGGTTTGGGGAGTTTGGGGTTCAGGGCGAGCTCGCTCTGCCGGTGCTCTGGGTCATGCAGCTACACTGTATCCTACGATGCTCTACGTTGCTATGCTATATTATACGACACTATGTTCTAATATATTCTATGTCAATATCTCGTAACAGGGGTTTGACTAACTAGAAAGGGTTTTAGGCGTATGTCATGCTATAGTCGCACAGGGAGCAAACGGGGGGGGGAAGCTACTTCTACTTATTGAGGCCCCTATACTAAACTCTTGTAGAGCCCTGCAAAGAACCATGTCATCATTATTGATTTGCCTNNCCCCCCCCCCCCCCCCCCCTGTATCAGCCTTTGGGTATATTACACCACAAGCCGACCAACAGCCTTGGCACACGATGGCGAATTCCAGGCCGTCCGGTGGCTGGTAGTCTAGCAGCTCCTCCGCTGGGCTGTCTGGTTGAAGGCTTCGACTCTCACCCGCGCACCAGGCCGGCAAGGCTATGCATAGTTGAAGGTCTAGGGATTTAGGGGCGGGCAGCCGCCATTCTCAAAACCTCCAGTGAAACCTGTGGCACGAGTTCCATTCCTCCACCACCGGTAGCACCGATTAGATCCGGATATCCTCCTAGGCCAACAAGATCCTCAAAACAATGGGTTTACCAATTTACCCTCTACCAAACTGGTCTACTAGTGTCCGGTTGGTTCACTGCTCAGTTTTCGTAGGATTGTCCACAACCCGAAAAGTTACCTGAGCCAATTCCAAGAACACCGAGCCAAGCACCTCCTCGATGTTCCAACTGGCTTGTCCATCGAACCGAACCTTGCGGAAAAGGTGAAGAAATGCGGAGGAATGATACTTCCCGACTGCCCCCTACCGCACTAGCAAATAATAGCTTCAACTTTCACTACGGTGCTGACTTTAACAGCCCAGCAAGCATGTCTTGAAGATTCCTGGGAATGATAGGACCTGCAGTCTCATTCAAACCCAAGCCCCTCAAGGCCCCTGCATGCGGAGGTCAGCTTACCAAGAGTTTCAGCAAGGAGCCGTGCCGGTGCGGAAGAGCTCAACGGCTGTAGATCCAGAGTCTTCTCCGCACCTACGGCATGCTTTGGAGCTTTTCACTTGGTAGGATTACGTGAAGCTACCTCGTGCAGTCTTCATATGAAACTCACCCACTCTTGCCCCTGCCACCAAGACTGTTCTGCTTTTTACCTGTACACTGGCTCTAAGTGGATGGATGGACGGATGGATGGATAGATGGAAGGCAGACGCATAGACGCATCAGCAGATAGGCAGGTAAAGTCAGATAGATAGGTCAGCAAGTAGCTGTGTAAATAGATAGGTAGACTCATTTACATGCGGAATACAGCTTGCACATGTGCATACATACATACATACATACATACATACATACATACATAGATGCATGCAAACACGCATACAGACAGACAGGCAGACAGACAAACATCACATAATACAAGCATGCACGCATACATCACGCACCCGCCCATACACTATACACACATACATTACATGCACACGGACTTACATGCTTACTTACTTCCTTCCTTCCTTACTCGCTTGCCTACCTACTTGTACACTTACTTGCATACATATTTGATTACTTACTTACTTGCTTACCCACTTATGCTGTTACGCTACATACATTGCATGCATTACAAACACTGCATACATGTGTGTAACTACTAACGTAACATACAAGACACACACACACAAACGTCGCACACTACATACGTGATCATATACGCCTACGTACGTGCATACATGCAATCAGACACACAGACTGACACGCACACACGCCAACCATGCCAGCATACCTACATGACTACATGCATACGTACGCAAGCAGTCATACATATACACATGGAGTCGCTAACGTATCAAGGTGTACATGTATGTAATGTGTGTACTTGTGTATGAACAATCATAAAACACATGCGTCAAAAGCAAAACATAGAAACGGATACACATGCGTGCGTTCGTGTATGATGTGCGGACCAGGCCCACAGGTCGTGGAGTGGAAGATGCCAAAAACGCTGTTGCAGTAACTTTGCACTCTTGAAGCCAAGGCACAAGGAGCAGGTGCAGTAGGCACCTTCGAAGCCCGTCTCGGGTCGACCCGGACCTGAATCATACCAATGTTGCAGGTCCGACCAGGTCGCCTTTCAGGTCATTTGTGTGTTGCAGTCTCCTGCTCGTCTCGTGCAGCTGAGCCACTGGATGCACTGAAGATACCCACCCGCAAGCGCCAGGTCTGAGGAAGTGGAAACAACAAGTTCGGGACTGGAGGCTTAGGTGGAGACTCGAAGCTCAGCAGCAGCTGCAGCTGCATCTAACTTGCCGAGTTCCGGTATATTTCGGATCCTTGTAACTACAAGTGGTGGCAAAGGGAGGGTGTGTGTGTGTGTGTGTCTGTGAGTGCGTACATATTTATACACGCACACACACACCCACTCACACTCACACTCACACTCACACTCACACTCACACTCACGCTCACACTCACACTCACACTCACACTCACACTCACACTCACACACTGACTCACTCACTCTCTCTTCTCTCCGTCCCCGCCTTCGGTGGGGAGTCTACCGGAGGCTGTGTGCTGACTTGGCTGCCAGGATCGGCCACAGAACCTTTCACGGGACGGAGGTGGAGGCCTTCCATGTTACCATCGCTAACCGCACCTTTAAGTACTACGACAGCAGGAGCCCAGGAAAAGGCCTCCCAAAGGCATCTGCGAGTTCATGGTCATTGTCGAACCTGTTTGCAGCTGAACAAATGTGAAGCTTCAGCCCCCGATATTCGGGAGTCCAGGGCTGGTGCTGTTTTCGATTTTCTGCTTTGGAACTGGGATCAAAATTCAGATTGAAAATGTGGACGGTGCTTGGAACACTTGGCAACTCTCGGCTTGCTACGTGTGCCGCAGTCCCGACGCATCGTTGCAGCCGAAAGCCCAGCATAGTTCAAATCTGAATCGATGCGAGGCAGTTCTCTGTGCTATTTGATGCTTGTGGCCTGCAGGTTGCTAGACTTATGATCTGGTCGACCAAGGCGGTGTAGACAGAATGAAACTGATTGACGGTTCAAAACAACACTTAGACTTCTACCCAGTCAGCAATCAATAATGCTAAGCAATACTGAACGATCTTCGATGCAGTTTTATTGTGAAGTTCCGGAGGGATCGATGAACTCAGTCGGCCTTTCACCCGTTGCGACGCCATAGAGCGGGCAAGAGCTGGGCTGTTCGTGGATGATGTTCCCCAGCCTTGACAAACAACGTGAACTTGGGCTCGAAAACTCTCAACATTCAGGGGTGCCTGATTTGAGGGATCGTGTGGGAAGGATCCCAGTGAATAGGGTCTGTGTTGGGTTCCTTGATCAAACAACGTCGATGCTGACCCGCAGCGAAACAAGAGATAAGGAGTGTGACATGGTCAATGTCGTTTTCCGCCACTTGGCACTTGTACATCTCTCAATACACGCATGATCCTGGGCCCAAGCACAGCGCAGCCCGGATTTGCAAACAACCTATGGGGAGCTTCGGCGTGATAGAAAGCTAGTGCATCCACCCTCGATGCAGGCACAGTGACCAAAGAGTCCCGGCATTATAGCGGCTCTTCTGGGTTTCTATGAACCCATGGGCTTCTTGAGACCTCTGCCATCTCCTTTAGGGTTTCAGGGCTTAGATTAGGGCTTGGGGAATCCGCCTCGCACACTTTCAATCCCTGCTTCAGTGCCGATGCCTTGCAGCCCAAGCCCCGCCCAGAAGCTCGGCGAGGTGTTCTCCCCTGCCAGAATTCATTCTGCTTGCTGCAGACTTCGCATACCGAGTTTTGCTGTCAATAGACTCAATAGAACAACGAAGGCACTACCAACAACCTCTGCCAGCAGCCAGCAAGAAACCCAGAGCAACACGGATTGTGCCGAATAGTCGCCAAGCATGCTGCAGCAACGGCTGCAGAATTACAGATCGCATGGCTCCGCTCCACGGCCGTGACTCACTAGACTTCCACACAACGAAAGGGCGATACAGCGCGAGAAAAAGGACCTGCAAGGCTCCAGGTGAACATGCTCGCAGTAGCCACACTGTCTTCCTTTATGGTAAAGCACTAAACATGCTGAATGCAAGAGCTATTTCAGCTGTTTGAGAGGCTCCTCTAAAAGAACCGGTTGAAAGGCCCAGATGTCATTCTGACTGGCCTTCTGCTCGGGTGTTGATCTGTCCGTACTCCAAAGCAACCTTGAAGCTTCCAGTCATCTGTCTGGTGCTTAGTAGGGAATGGGGGAATGGGTTAGAGGGACTACTATAAGGGACCTTAAGGCACTATCATAGGGATCCATTCCCCCGTTCCCTACTAAGCACCAGACAGTCATTTGGGGGGCTTTTAGAAGGCTTTCTACGGCTTCCCGGACATGTCTAGGATTTCCGGGTACTGCGCTGAATCCGGCTCGTGTGGGACACTTCTAGGTCACAGGGAATCGAAAGACTTTGTGGGAGTTAAGGCTACTTTGATGCCATGATGTTCCGGGGGCCAGCATGCTTGCGTGCCAGTAGCCTGAAACGGACAGTCCAGAAGTATCCGTGGCAGCATCGCTTTGGTGCAAAGGGTTTGGATTGTTTTGGAAGAACTTGATTCAGAGAAGCGTATCACTTACGAAGGGAAGGATGCCTTACAAAGGCAAACAACATCAGCCAAGGATGGCTTATGGACAGCCCTGTATCTTGTCGGCGAGCACTTCCCAGTTCCTGCTGTGCCAGCCACACACCAACATGAATGCCACCTTGCAACAAACCCCATTCGGGGTTCCATCTTTACTTCCGTGGTATTCCCTAACTCAAGGGAAGTCTCACCGGTTGCTCTTCTCGTGTCGAGAGGCGTTGAGGAACTCGCCGAAGGAGACGGTCCCGTCCTGTTGGGGATGTCGTGTGCTAGGGTTCCCTGTAGCGTATCCTGAACAGGATCCTGTGTAAGGGTGGCCGAAGATCCACATCATGATCGGATTGACAATCGTGCTGAGTTTCTTCCGGCCTTCGACTAGTTACAGAGAACGGAGGACAACCGTCTTAGGGCAGTGCCTGAGGACTTGTTTTGAAGGCATGAATGCTCCCTAAAGCCGAGAACGGACAAACTGAAACCGTAAACCCTGAAGGCCGCGTCCTAGTCCGTAACACATACACTCGAAGCCCTAAACCCTAAACCCTAAACCCATTACCACGCCTGGTTGGTATCCATCCAGGATAGGAGCCTCCACTCGGGCTGCTCTTTGGGAAGTTACCGCACGGGGGAGGAGCAATACAAAGGACGGCTTCAGGCTTCCCAAGCGGCAGCATCTACTGGTTCAGTACAGGGGCCTGAGCAATCCTTTCGGGGTTGTATACATTTTAGAAGCCCGAAAGACGAGATACCGACCTACGTGTTGAGAAGTGTGAGGTATCAGTGTCGTTGTCGTGATGGGTGTCAAGCTTGCCAGTATTGTCAGCATATTGCTGTTCCAGTCACCACCACAAAGATACCAATAGACGGGGCCTCGCAGCTACTCACAAAATCGACACGGCATTCTCGTTAGCACGACTACCGTTGCGACTGCTCGGGGAGCTAGCTCTCCAAACTGCACCCCTCGCTGGACCCTAAACAAATATGCAACCCTTACATTCAACAAAAACCCTAGACTCACATCAAACCCTGATGCACAGAATCCAGTCACCCCTCCACCCTCAATCCCCCTCCCCTGTGGGAGCTGAATGGCTGCTCCACATCTTCCGCTTGGCGTAACTGAAACACCTCGGTTGTGAGCAGCGTCTTGGGAAATCAAAGCAAACTAGCGGGAATATGTGCATATATATATATATATATATGTATGTATATACACATACATATATACATTTGATGTATGTATCTATGTACGTATGTATGTATATACATACATAAACATATGTATATATATATAGATAGATAGATAGATAGATAGATAGATAGATAGATAGATAGATGGGCCTTCATAATTCATGTAGGGCGAGTTTCGATGCAAGAAACACCAATCAGAAGCTTCAATCCGGTGCAGACTAGCAATGACAAAAGGTATTCGTACTGGCATCCGCCGTCGCTGAGACACGATGACAAAGAGCGTGGCATATCAACGCTGGTCCGGCGACTGTGAACTGCTCGATTACTCGCGAAGATGTGCGACTTCAGATTCAGCATCAAGAGGTGAAAATTGAACTAGGCCAACAGCTCTTACATCTCCTGCTGAATTTCCCGAATCGCCAGCTGACGCTTGACTTAGAAAACGCAGGAGCTTTGCGGCTGGTGCTGTCGCGGTGCGCCACCGCCGATGAGTCCCCGCAGCTCCTCCAAAGTGAGGCTCCTCAGAGTCTGGAGAGACCGAAAACATGAAAGAGAGGGGTCTTGGCGGTTTTTGGAGGTGCCGGGGTTCAGGGTAATCGGGATTGGGTGCATTTAGGGTTTAACTCTTTGCAGTGAGGGCGCTTGTGCGCTTGTGTCTCCGCGTGTGTATGCGCGCGCATTTGAACTTTTCAATCAAAAGTTGTTGAAAACGACACGGACATCATGAGGAATCGAAGCAGTTTCCAGGCATGCTTCCATAGACAGAAGAAGAGCAACATGACGAAGCTTGAGATTCTGAGATCCACAGGTGCCTCCTGTCACAGAGGGCCTTGCTACTTTGGGATAATCTCAGTAGGTTGAAGATAACCAGATACTATAATAAAATATGCGATCCTAAGATACTATAACCATCAAATATACGATCCTTTTGCACTGTAAGATACTATCTGCGAGTATAAATTATGATGAGGAACCCGAAGAGAGACGATTTCGCTATTTTTCTGAACTGCGGCCAGAGGGGCCCAGAGGAATCCACGTCCAAGGATTGAAACAGCTCCTCGATACACGAGGAAATCGGGGCCGAAGCGTTTGCAGTCTGAAGCTTCGGGTTTCGGATTTGAGGGTTGAAGGTTTTCAGGGTTTGGAGCAGAAAGTGGTTTCGGGTTCAGTTTTTCCGGGGTGTGATTAGGATTACCGTACATCACCCCCCATTGGTAACCCTAATTAGCAACTCCCTGCCTGAGGGCTTAAGAGAGTTTACCCGTGGCCTAAGCAACCTCCCCTCTAAGGGGGAATGCACGTGTGTTTTAGGAAGGAATCCCAACAAGCTCGGTCTTTATTTTTGCTGCAGGGAGGGGGGTGTTCGACACTCCCGTTCGTGCAAGGCTCCAGGTAGTCCACAGGATCTCTACTGGTACTACTGAATGTAGAGGTCTTAATAATTAGAATACGGTTTTTGGGGTTCCTTCTTACAATTATAGTGCAATATACCCCAAACCCTATTTTCAGGTGCCGATAACTCTGCAACGTTCTTGAAGTGCGCCAAGAGAAGTTGAACAGAGATGGTTTAGGGCCTTAGGGGCAGCTTGATTAAGTCACCCCAGTCAACCCAAAACTCCAAACCCGCAACGCTGGGAGGAGCTGAAGAAACAAACCGGTAAATCGACTCTCATCGCCCTCAAGTCGCCCTCAAGCTCCCCTAAACCCTAAACCCCTAACCCCTAAACCCTCAGACAGGTTTGGGGAGGTTTGGATTTAAGAGCTTACCAAGCCGGTGTCTTGCTTGATGAGGGAGAAGGGAACGGGGAGGGGGAGAGG